GAGTAAAAGAGAGAGAGAGCGTTTTCAGAAGTCAGGCAGTCCACCAACTGAGAGATCAATCATCCAGCCAGTGTAATAATTGGGTTAGAAGCTTCTAGCACTTCATTCAACGGTCATCCTAGCGCCACGTGTTGCAATGCAGTTTAAACCATCCTTTTAAGAAAGTTGTTAAACACAGAAACACGATTTTTCGTTTTAATTTGAAAGCACACTTTTAATCAGGTCCAAGGTTCGAAACTCAACAAGTTGTAAGATAATTGACTATTTAAGAAAAAATTGAAATAAATAAATGTATCCAACAAAAATTATCTCAATTTTTGTTGACTGAGGAGGCCTGAAACACCTCCAATAGCTAAGCCAGGAGGATAGGGTCCCTTGAAGCACACTAGATAGTTTTAGTGTCAAACTAGGTAAACACTGTAAGTTGGATCCTTGAGCTTTCCAGCCAATAAGCCTATAACACGATACATTTTTAAGCAACACAAATAGTTGGTATCAAAGCAAGTACCACGTCTCCCAATTACAATTGAGTGGCACGGATGGTGATGCCGGCATTGTAGCATTCGTTCGGGACTGATCATATGCTAGTGCAAAGCTAGTCCAACATGGACGCAGGAGCGTGAAACATGGTGGATTGTTATGGTTTCCATTGCAAGGTATGTGACTTGAATCCCATATTGAAATTATGGGCTTTCGGTGTGGTTTATAAAGACTTGGGCTCTCTAACTTCAACAACTAGATTTTGAGGCATGACTCTTCCAAAATCTATATTAATGGTATCGTAGGAAGTATCTCATCTCTCAGTTGCAATCGAGCGGTGCGGATAGTGACTTTGGCATTGAAGTGTTCGTTCTGGACTAACGTTCGACGTGGACGTCGGGATCATAGAACGTAGTGCATTGTCATTGTTCCCATTGCAATGTATGGGACTACAATAGCATCAATTATTAATATGTTCCCATTGCAATGTATGAGACTTCAGTAGCGTCAATTATTGATATATCCTTGTTTTTTTTGGGCAGGCAGTGAAGTAAATCTAGTTGTGTAGAAGCAAAATGTAAAGCAAATGTTGGCATGGTGCAAGGTGTACATATCTGAAAGCCGAAACAAGGCTGCATTGGAGGCAATTGAAAGGGCAGCCAAGCTATTTCCAGAGGCTCCAATTGTCAACAAATTTGAAGACTTGTGTCCAAACTGGTTCCATGTTGTCTCCTCAAGAGTGCTGTTTTTGAAATGGTGAAATCTGCTTTTGAATCCATTGATCTTGAAATGCACACTGGGACTCATCTTAGGCTTGGTGTTGTGGACCACATTTGTTTCCATCCCTTGGTTGGTGCTTCTTTGGATAATGTTGCAGGGACTGCAAAATCTCTGGCTGCTGATGTTGGCTCAAGGCTTCAAGGGTTGCTCTCTTGAAACTAAGATTTTGAAGATATACTGAACTGGGCTAATTTCATTTTATGTGTTAAGACTATGTCATTATTTGTTCTTCATGATGTGTCAAGAGGAATCTAAATGAGTTTTACAGAAGTGGAACATGAAGATGTGATGTGCATGGAAAATTAATTCGAGAAATTCATTTGGCTGTTAACTACTTGTAATTGAGTACTTGCAAAAACACGACTTTATGCATACTAGGGTGACTTTATTATTTTGTAGCACCTAAATCCAAAGGTTACACATCTTTCTTTTCCTTTCATTTGATTAGAGAAAGAATACCAATTTGTCCACAACTTTATCCCTTCAGGTTTGATGATATCCATTTTATCAGGTTCATATACCTTTCAAAATAAGTATATTATGGCATTGATTCCGATAAAGATTCAGAATAAGAGATCTTTACTTGGTTCTTTGATCATTTGCTTACATGCTTGTGTGTACATGCTTGTATTTGAGGTACAAGGGATTTGAGTTCTGAAACTTGTTTTGCATTAGAGTGACTTGTAATATCAGAATTGGCTTATTCTTTTCAATAGTTAAACATTCACATCCCTTAGGATAGAGCGAAAATCAATATCTTCCTTTCTCTCTATCTTCTGGCTTTGTTAATGATTTTAAACATAGCTGGTGCATGGAAATTAATTTGGTCTTCCATCCTCAACCTCTTGAACAAATCCTTTCTCAACTATAATTTTTGGACTTATCATCCATTTACTATAAAATAACATATGCATAACAAACTAAATATGTACCTTGAGAAAATAATTTATCTCAAGATGCTATTTGCATAGATATATTGTCTCACGACTTCATTTCTAGCTTTTAAGGCTTATTTCTATCAGGTGAAGGGGTCGTGGGGTGGAAATTGAGTGCTCAAACTTGAGAAAAACCATAAAATAAGTCTGTAGCACCTCAATTCCAAGGTTAAACATCTTTCTATTTCTTTTCATTTGACTAGAGAAAGAATACTAATTTGTACACAGCTTTATCCCTCAAGCTTTGACGAGTTCCAATTTATTAGTCATGCAGCTTTCATGATGAGCATCTTATGTTTCTTATGGAATTGATTCCGAGAAAGCTACAGAGTAAGAGACCTTTACTTGGTTCTTCAATCATTTGCCCACATGCTTCTGTGTATATGTGTGTATTTAAGGCGGAGGGGATTTGAATGGTGAAACTTCTTTTGCAGTAGAGTGACTTATAATTCCAGAAACATCATTCTTTTTCGATTGTTAAACATTCGCATCCCAAAGGATCAAGTGAGAATCAATATCTTCCTTTTTCTTTTGGCTTTGTTAATGATTTTATATACGGTTTGTGCATGGAAATTAATTTGGGAATTTCTTTTGGATGTTAACTACTCTTGATTGAATGAATTTTGGGAAATTATCCAAAAGATCGTCTTACATCTTTATTGTTTTAATGCAGAAGAGGAATCTGAAATGCTAATCAATTTGTGTTTCGGAGATGGCAATTTGGAGACTTCTTCGTAACTTATGCTTCCCTTTCTTGAACATAGGTAGAAAACATAATGTTTATGATCATTACAAGTTCAAGCTTTACCTGCCATATCTGTGCGTCTAGTGCATTATCTTTGACATACAGGTCCTCAATAAAGTCTACTTTTCTTCTTGTTTAGACAATTCCTTGGACATATTTGAAATGCTAATTATATGTGCTTTGTTTTTTCATTTTAATTACTGCCTTATACAAATGTGATAAAATCTTTAGTTCACGCGTAAATTAGAAACTGCTTAACGCACTTTATTCACACCCTTGATTAGAACATGAATGCATTCACTTATCAAAGTCAATTGTCCCGAAAGCCTATGTACATGGAAATATTGTTAACTTCATTTCATGCTTTTAAGGCATATTCCAATAAGGGGAAGTGTTCGTGGGGCTGGAATTCAGGGCTACTACTTGGTGAAACCATGAATTTAGGCATACTAGAGCAAACTTACTATCAAGTCTGTCGTGCACAATCCGAAGGTTACATGTTTTTCTTTACCTTTTCATTTGATGAAAGAAAGACTAACAATTTGTGCACAAGTTTATCCTGCCAGCTTTGATGAGATCCAATTTATCAGGTTCATGTAGCTTTCATGATGAGCATCTTATGTCCGTGTTCCTTATTCAACGGTCATCATTGTACATGTAATGCTATAACTAAACCTTCTTAGTGTTATAGAAGGGGTTGGAGAAAAAGGAAAAGGAATGATGAAGAAAAACACAAATATACTGTCTCTTTTCGATACTGTAATCTTGAAGAAGACGTTGTATACTATCGGAGTTTATTCAGTTTCTTATTTAATCGATCATTATCGTGTCTTTTCTTTCTTGTATTTAATTACCAGATCCTTAGCATATTTATCTCATGTCAAAAGCTTCTCCCAGGTTTTAACTCAACATTTTCGACTAGTAATCTGTCAACGCGTGTCAAGATTAGCTTGCCAAAACATGAGTGGGCCCGATATCAGTTGGCGCATTTTTTGTGGTCAACAGATTGGCGCTGTCTGTAGGAAATCCTACTTAAATCACGAACATCCCCATGGAAAAAACTTGCTGGGAACGATTTGGCCATTTCCGTTGGAAGAGGATTTGTTCTTGAAAAAGGAGGGGAATCCCGAAGAGTTAAGACAACGACATCTTTGAAAATAGATGTGTCAGTGATACGTATGAAGAGAGGTTTTACTTGTGAAAATCAAACCCTCTGGCATTTGTAGAATATCATACAAGTTAAATAAGAAGGGCAACATATTCGAACTCTTATCCCATTCTCTAACGTGCTCTAAATTATCAATTATCAAGTAAATCATCTTCCCATTAACTTGGGAAGCTGACTTCTTGGAGTTAGATTTCTCCAGATCACCTTCGAGCCAGTCTATAAAAGTACTCAAAGCGTCATGTAAAAGATTTACAAAATCAGAGGGCTTTTCATAGCGCTTTGCACTTGAGTATCCATTGTTTTCACTCTTCCTATGAAGTAAAAGCTGGTTCAAGATAGATGCAAACAGTATCTTGGGATTGTAGCAGGCGATGCAACTGCTATAAATAAATGGGAGCTTCAAGTGCTTGAAAATCTCAAGTACTGTGCTTGTTTTGCCCATTGAAGCATCTCTATAGACAAATAATGGAATCTTAGGAGAATTCAAAGGGCACAAAAGCTTGATCAGTTCAAGAATTTGCACGCGCCTACGGGGAAAAGAATTAATCAACTATTCGAGAGTTAGAGATTCATCACTTAGCACAAGGTCATTTGCAGTCAAAGATTGTGTATTACTAATGATTTTTGAAACCTTACCTGAAGTTTTAGAATTTGGGGTAGTAGAAGAGGATGATCTTGTGGTTCTTTGTTAACATGCGGGCTTTCCTCTTTACTCATTTCTCTGGGAAAAAAAAAATCGAAATTCAAGTATAACTGGAAGAAAAAAAAAATCTTGTATCAATTACAGTATTAAAGAGAAGCACAATGTAAACTCGAATGGCACACAAATTGCTCAAGAATAAGGATTAGAAAAAAAACTAACAAATGGCAGTCAATCCCATCAACAAATTTGACAACAAACTGTCAGTCGTCCGAATTGATTGTTATAAAGATAAATAAAAAGCCATAAAAAATAGAACCCACAAAACTGCAGACTATTAAAGCATGTAATTTATGTGTTAACTATAGAACTGTAAATGAGAAATTCTTTTAAAAAACCCATTTTTTAGCACCCATTTGTCCTGGGTATTTCACCTATTACCCTTGAGGGGCAGCCAGTTTTTAAGGCAAGGAGAAAACCATAATCAACAACATTAAAAATTCAAGAGAAGTATTGTTGAAAAAACCATTGTTGGTAGAGGAAGATTACCATCAAGAAAAAAACATTATTGGAAAAATAAATAAATTATAAGGAATGCTTGTTTGGTACAGCTCAACATTGAATGAAAATTGAAAATATAGCTGTTATTGGATCCTCTCTTCTAATAAAAGTCAACAATAATGACTAATTTTTCAATTTTAATTTGATTTTAATCTCTACCAAACACGCTCTAAATCATTCACAACAATGACATCTAGTGCGATTTCAGCATACAATGCCCTTTCTACAATAATAAAATAAAACCCGATAATACCTTCCAAGTTTGGTGATGAAGAAGTTCAGTAGAAATCACTGCAGCACCAGATAAATTGTTGCAAAGGGTGATGAGTATGTCTCCCTTTTTGCCTCTCCTTCACACTATACTGTTCCAATTTTTAGCGTAATACCGAGTAAGAAAACCTTGGGGCTGCTTCGGGGAGGAGGAAATACAAGAAACCATACTGGACTTTTACCAGTAAAAAAAAAAAAATAGTTAGGTTAATATCAAAATTCTACCGGAGCTTAGGCTCCCTCCTTTTCCCCTTTCTTTTTTTCTTTTCCCTTCTTTCCCCTCTTCCGTTTCTCTCCCTTTTTGTTGCCCGTGGTTCCTCTGTTTTGCAGGCGCCGTGTTTGGGCGGGGTGAGGTCAGCGAGCTCTGATGGTGGTGTTCTTGTGGGCTTTGGTCGGAGAAAGGGGCGGGCGAGGTTTGGCCGGGGCGGGCGACCTCAGGTGGTTGGAGTCGGCGTGGGCGCTGCTGCTGTTGGGGTTTTGCCGGCGTGCCTTTTTTTGGCTGGTCTTCAGCGTAGGCGAGGGTTGGGGATTGGTGGTGTGTGGTTGGTGGTTTCTTGGTTGTTGTTTGGAGGTGTGTGTTGGTTGTTTAGTTTTTGTTGCTGTTGTTTCGGTTTGTGATTAGTTTATGTTGTTTGGTTTGTGTGGTTGTTTGGTCGAGGTGAAGTCTAGACAATCTCCGCTACTTCGTGTGCGAGGGTGCTCAAGTGTTGACTGCGTAGTTGGCTTTATGTAGGGTTGTTCCTGCATTGTTAAAGTCACATATGTTTTTTGACTTCTATTGGCTTTGTTTGTATCGGGTCGTGTATAAGTTGTTCGGCTTTGGGTCTTGTTCTGGTTCGTTTGCCTTTGTGGCCATGGTGAAGTCTAGACGATGTCCGCTACTTCGTGTGAGGGGTTGCTCAAGTGCTGATTGCGTAGTTGGCTTTATGTAGGGTTGTTCTCGCATTGTTTAAGTCACAGATGTTTCTTCGACTTCTATTGGCTTTGTTTTATATTGGGTTGTGTATAGGTTGTTAGGCTTTGTGGCTTGTTTTGGTTTGTTTACCTTTGTGGCTGTCGCTTTGGCTGTGGAAGCACTTAATTTCTCTTTGTAGAGCATATGTTGGAGGTTTTCCTCCTTGTATCTCCTTTTTGCGCCTTCTATGGAATGCTTTGTGATTCAAAAAAAAAAAAATCAAAATTCTACAAACTGTACGACAGCACGAGAGGAAGGAAAAAGAAGTTTCAAAGTAGGGATATCCAGTTTTAAACCAAATGCTTACCACTAGGGGCGGACCGAGGGTCCCCCAACTTTTGATTTTTTTTTTTTTTTAAAGTCATGTTTGATATCGATTGAAATCAAAATTTTAATTTAAATCAAAGTTAACAATTAATTTTAATAACATATTTCATGGAATCCATAACTATTTAACTTTTATCAAAATTTAC